GCGTCGATTTAACGCATATCTTCTAAATTATTACTTTTTTGTCATTTATTATTTTAAAATTAACATTGTCGATATAAAACTTATTTTGAAATTTTCTCTATACGTATGTACTATAAAGCCGATTTTTGGGGAAGACGGCAACAATTAATTATATTTCACAGCATTATTTCAATCCCAAACAGTTCAAAGAACAGAATATTTATATAGACATGTAATAACTAATAATTGAAACATATGATCATGTACTTTAATGGAAATTCTCAGCAATTAAAAAAAAGTAGAGCATAATTTGTCACTTTAATTTGTCATTGGAATTCAATATCTGTTTTCTATACACAAATTTTAAAAAAAAGCAACTACTTAAAAATCCATTTTCTTAATCTCTATATAATCAATAAGCTACTATAGTTTTTATGTAGCGTTCTTTAAAAAATTCAAAAATGTTAATATAAAAATATCGCATGCCTTTATATACAATTAAAAATGTGTGAAAATTCTAAAAAAATTAATGTAACACTTTTTACGATGGATTTTAACAAAAAATAATACATAAAATTCTAACATTTTAAATCAAAGAGATATTCATTATTGATATTTAACTACGTAAAATAAATTTTAAATAAAATTCTTAAATAAATAGTTTTTTAAGTTAATGTTCAATATGTACTCTTCTAAATCGTCAATGAAGTTTTAATATGTTAAAAAAAACAATAAAATACGTTCAAAATTTTTTTTAAAATTCATGGCAATCTTATGTTTTGTAAGTCAAGTCAAAAATTTTAAGGGAATTTTCTTTGCAGCGTGGAGTTTTCAAACAGAAACCATGGCAATTCTTTCAATAGAATCACTCAATTAAGCTTAATTACACTTAATTAATGACACGAATTAAATTTAAGTATTTTAAAAGGCAAACTTTTAAAAATTAATCATAATATAGTCGTTTCGACGTAAGAATATCATACAATAAACTGGACAATTTACACAGACAGTTTACTTCTTAAATATTTCCAAAAAAAATACCAACAAATATTTTTTTGCCGTAAAAAGTGTCATTTACCAGCGATAAAAATATGATCGATTGCACTTTCTTATGCCACTGTTCCATCAAAACCCCAACTTAATGACGCATGTTCTCCAAATTCCACAAAGATCCGACGCAAAAAAGGACGAGTTCATTAATTTGAGATATATTTAAAAATGTTTCAAAGTAGAGGGGTGAGGAAAAGTGGGGGACCGCGTGTCGGAGAAGAAAAGGGGGTTCTCCGTTTCAGATTTCATGGGGGAATCGTGGAAAAAGTTGTTGGAATTATAACGGCTTGCACAAATTAGCACTCCTTATAAATTCATACTACGCTTCTTCGGGAGTAGATGGGGAGAATGCTAATCGTGTATATTGTAGTTACTATAATTAGATTTCAAAAAAATTACACTTTCTGAGAAGATTTGCATAGGAATAAAAACAGTTGAACTGTGTTCATTAATTTTACAACCTCTCTGTTTTGTCAAAGGGTACAATTAAAAATTTTTTTAACATACAGAGAACCAAATCTAGAAAAGGGAAAATATGTTTGGTGGTAATTGGCGTGTAAAAACTGAGCAAAATATGTTTTTTGAAGATTTTGAAGATTTAAAAAAATATATATATAAGTATTAATTAGTGCTTTGTTTTTCCGTACTGAGTTCCTTTAGTTTCAAAAATAATTTTGATTTTATTATATTGTTTATTTCGTTTGTTTCAATTAAGCATTGCTTTTTTTATATTTTGTTAGTTTTTTTATCTTGTCATTTTTTCTGTAATTTATTAACTTTGATTTTTTTTGATAGACAGCTTTTAAATTAAAAGCAGTTTCGATTGGGGTTTCTTATTCTTTGATATTAATTAAGTTTTAAATTAAAATCTGTTTTTGCTTTGTAAACATGAAGGGATGACAGCCTTATCTGAGCGTTGGCATTTATTTAATTCAGAAATAAGAACTCAAGCTTCGGTGAAAACAATATTAAAACTAAAAACTACGGGTACCTTATTACACATAATTAGAAACAGAAATTCTTACAATTATAAATGAAATGCGGATTCTATTATTAATTCTTACAACAACTTATTAACAGTTTCATTTAAGCTTAAGAACACGCTAAGAATTTGACCTGTTTGCCCTCAAAAGAAAAAGAGCTTCTTACCTTAGGCCAGTGGTCAGCCAAAAATGTCTCACGAGCCGCATGAGGCTCTTTGCATAGACGATTGGGGCTCTACAGACAGGCCTCTATGTGTTATTATAAAGTAACTTCTAAAAATGTTTCCTTTATAGTTATCTATTGAAAAAATTTAGATTTATTTGCCATTTTCAGATCCAATGCCGCTTCTGGAGACTAATTTCAGATCCTATTTCCAGATTTGGTGACTAAAAGATTAATTTACAACTTATTTCGATTAACTATAAAAGGGTGTTTTTTAATTTTTTTTAAAGTATAATTTATCTTGTTTCACTTTCTACTCGGCTCTTCTACCTCGAAAGTTTGCCGATCCCTGCATTAAGCTCTTGAATTTCGATAGTATTAAGGTAAATAAAAATCAATTCCCCAAAAATACTCCATAAAAAAGGAGCTGAATCTCAAATGAATCGATTGATATATATTTTTTTAAATAAAAATATTGCTTCCTAATGATAAATGACAAACCAGGTAAATTAAAAGCGACTCATTCTACCAATGAATCACTTGAAGTAACCAGGCATTTCATCTGGTCATACGCATATCTGAAGTCAGGACCTTGAGTCTGAAGAACCGGGAAAAAGTACACCCTAGTTTAAAAAGATTTTAGTGTTCTTTGATTGAAGGAAGCTTTCAAAAACCTTCTTAGGAAAAAAAAGGAAGTAGGTTGATATACTCTCATACCCCACATAAGTCCCTCTTCGATAAAGAATGGAAAGGCAGAACATTCTGGAAAAGCGAACAGGCATTGATCTCTAACAAGAAAAATGTTTTTAGAACTCTTCTTCCCGGTAAAAGGCCCTCCTCCCCGAAGATATCAGCGTGGGGTAAAAAATATCCCGGTACAATCGGGTCCGGCTCTAATGATCCAAGAGAAATGGATAGCTCTCTCTGCGCAGAACTGAATGTAAGAATCACTTCTTATTCTGGAATACCATTGAAAGTCTTCGTCGTTAGGCAGATGGATTTTTACGGGGGGAAAGAACGGGAACTGAAAATAAACTGGAAACTTTTGGATTCTTGGGAATGAAGAGTTCAGTTGTTGTGAGTACTCTGGAAATAGTATTGATAGCTTGAAGTTGCGAGAGCAATCTTGAAGCAGTTAAAAGTTGCTGAATCGCAAGTCGGGATTTTTTTTTAAAAAAAGACGGAAATATCTGTTAAGAGTATGTGTAAACTAGTGAAATGATATTTATTATTATTGTTAAATATAATTAATTATTTTATTATTATAAACGACGCCTGCAATGTACGCTAATTATAAATTCAAGGGATTTAAGGTGTCCGACTAACATAAAACTGTGAATTTTGACAAAAATTGACAAATTTCTTTATGACTTTATTTTATGGGCCATCTTATTAGCTTTATAAAAATACCAAGTTTATCATTTTCCGTTTACTAGAACAAAAACTACAAGTGTTTTAGTAAAAGCAGATGCCATTACTTTAAGCTAGGTGTCATACTTCAAAAATCGTTTAACTCGAAATGTGATTTTTTGAAAATAATCAAACGGGGTCAGTGGTTGCTAAAAAGTTTTGAACATAATTAACTGAAATTTTTCTGTAAGTTCTGTATAATAGTAGAATGGTTTTAACCTTCAGATTTGTCAATCACTGTTTTATTACAAAATTTACAGTCCCTTATGTGAATATAATCACTGTCTTTTTAAGCATTTTCATATAGTAACCGAGATAAAGTGCTCTGGTTTTTGTAAAAAAGAAAATATCTCTTAACCTGAAGGTCATTTCAAAATTGAATAATATAGCAACACATTAGATTGAAAAAATTGAAAATTTGTTCATAAACCTTTGGTGCAGAATGGCTCGCGTTTATGCTATTTTTTGTCGATTTTTACCTATTTTTCCCCACATTTTAGTAATAATAATTTCTTTTTCTCTTCTTAATTTTAGCACATTTTTCTTAAAATGCGCTAAACAAATCTAAAAATAACAAAAATTCCCCATACCTCTTTTTTTTAAAAAAAAAGTTGTCGCAACCAGTCGGATTCCTTAAATGAAGTAAGATTAAAACTTTAGACTACTTTCTGAAATTTAAAGTAAGTAATTTCAAAAGCTCAGATGTCGTCCTCATCACTTGAACATGGTTAAAAATTACGAGGTCCGTCGCCAAACGCCCTCGAGTATATAGCTGAACGGTGCGACGTTAATATTCACTCTCTTACTGACTGAGGAACTAACTATCGTAAAAGGCACTATTCTGTATAAACTCTTCAATCCAAATTAAAGGATATTTGCAATTATATAATTCGTTGATTTTTTTTAGTTACAGAATTTTTTAATCCTTTCCACTTCATGTTGAATGCAAAATAAATAGTATTATGTTGATTATAGTTTTGCAAATACCTAAATTTTTTATCTCAAAATTTAAATAAAGAACTGAAATGTGACTTGAAATACATATTTAGCAACAGAAATCTAAGCAAATGCAGCATGTATCGGTATATTTATAAATAAATTCTGAAGTATCATTTTAACCCCATAACTGAAAACATTTTAACATTTGAATTTATTCAATTTCTACTATTAGTTCACACACTCTCCCCATTTATTTATTTATATATCTTGTTGAAAATTTCAATCGTTAATAAAATACTTTCTATTCATCCATTCAAGTTCAAATACATTTTTTTAAACTTGTTGTGTATGACACTTGATGTTAATATAGTTTTTTCAAATATGAATTCATTAATTAACGAATAATTAGTAATAAACAAAAATAATAGTCCAACACACACCAAATATAAAAAGAAAAAATCACTCGTTGTATCGCTGTAGCGCAATGGGTAGCGCGTTGGACTTCTAATCCATAGATTGTGGGTTCGAATTCCATTTAATTTCTAAGAATGTGATTTCTTTTTTACTATGCTATTTTATTGGAATAATTAAATTTAATTAATGAATAAACAGTAATAAACAAAAATTATAGTCCAACTCCATATATAGAAAGGAAAACGGAAAATCTATTTTTATTTTGCCACTTAATATTGTGATTCTGTTATATGTATATACATATTTATATTAATTGTAACTATTAATAAAAAGTAATTAAAATAAAATTTGTCTTTATTGACCTAAGTTGGAATTAACTTAAATTTTTTTTATTACTTGTTTTAAACTAAGCATATGTTACTGGACTAAAGGGCATGAAAATCTGCTTAAATTAAGTCAATTTTAAAATCATTTTTAAGGATAAATAAATGCTTTATACTCTTTAGCTACAGTATAAACTATACCATACATAGACTATACAAAATAACTTGCAACAAAAACCTTTTTATGCAATTCCCAGACAACCGAGATTTCTTGCGAACAAAGTGAAATTTGTTGTTGTAATATACAGAATGGTCGTGATATTTTACTGCACTCTGCCCCAGCTGTCTTATAAATCCAAATACTTTGTGCGCAGAGCAGAAATCAACCTCTCTGGAGACAGAAATGTAATTTTATTTAGCTTCTTGTTTTATTAGACTTCACTGAAGAGTCACACTGTGTAACGTCTGCTATATATCTAAACGATTGAGTTTTACTGCTCCGAAAAGAAAGTTTGAAGTACACTTCTCTGTTCTTTGCAAAGGAAGAAGACTTAGAACTTCAAATGAAGGAAACAAAAATGTTAGTGTTCTGCATTGAGTAACTGTTAAACTTAAAATAATTCTGCTACACGTTTTACAGAAGCCATTATTAAAGTTAAATTGGTAATTCTTAATTGAAATGAAATATTTAAATCTTACCATTTCGTATATAGTATTATAACAATTTTATTTTCTTGATGTAATCATGAATAGGGAAATTTATATATCCTTTGAAGTTTGTGTCTCAACACTTCACTTAAGTGTATCCATTTCCATATAAAATACATTCGGTTTATTGCGTTTAACCCCATTCCTCAGGCTGCAATTCAATTTTAATAACTCTTTTTTTCAAACATGTGTTTTCCAAAAAAAGTGACATATTGAAAAAAAAAACGTATTTGCATTTTTGAAATGTATTATCACAGTTGTAGTTATCCCCTTTTTTTTACTTGGCTTCATTTGGCGGGGGAAGCTCAGTGGTAGAACTGCATTGAGCTTCCACACCACAGGCCCGAGGTTCAAATCCAAGGCTGGGCAAGGTCAACTCAGCTTTTCATCCTTTCAGTGGGTCGATAAATGAGTACCAAGCTTGCTTAACTCTGGCGGTTTCGCGTCAGATTGACCACCTGACCGGAACATCTGCCCCTGCACCTCAGAGTCCAAGGTCACGTATACTGATATGGGCATAGTAGGCCTTGGCCCTCATGGGCTGTTGCGCCACTGAAGTTAGTTCATTTGGCGGGGGTTTTAAACTACACTGAGTAAGTGAGTGTTTATTAACGTCGCACTATTAAACATCCCGAGAGCTATTGACGATGAAACTCGAAACTTTGAGCCATGGTCCAGCAACGAGGAAGACACCTCCTCTCCAAACTTCCACACTACGCCAACGGAAGGAATCTGAGCTTGAACAGAACTAACGGGCATCAGCGTCTCTATATGGCGGGTGTTTTGTGGCATTAGGGCTCGAATTAAAGACACATCGGCCACAAGTTCATGACTAACAATTTCTCTACCGCGGCCACGAACTATATTGAAGATCCTCTTTTCGATCGGCCTGGAATGGGGGGGGGAGGGGGGTTTATGTTTCATCTAAGAAAATCTTCAAAGATGGGATATATTCATAGCTTCTATATAATTCTACTCATAAGAAAATAGAATGCTTCTTTTGCTCAAACGACAAATTTTCTCATTTCTTTTGTTTAATTGATGCCAAAATAAAGCTGTAAAAAAATTTACTGGCGTTATTAATATTTTGAAATTTTTCTCAAATGCATGGGATCTAGACTGATAACTTTTTATGCAATTTTATGTAATATCTGTTAAAATGTGCTGATATTATTTGAAAATGATGTTTTTTAATGAAACATTTTTTCTCTTACTAACTGGGAAACCTAGCCTTGAAATAAACTTTTTATCGGAATCAAAATAAATATGTAAATAATAATCTAATTATTATAAGTCAACTATAAAGATACACAAAACAGAATATTCAAAAATGTTAAAAATATCGCTCAATTATTTCTGATTTTTGAATAGATATGGACAAAAATTTTAAAACCCATATTGCATTGTATGCTCTTAAAAAAGCTTGAAAAATCAAAACTTTGTGAGATGTATCCATAACAGTTTGTTATTGGGAAAAAAAATCTATTTTATTTTAAGAGATAAATTATATTACTTTTCAGCTAGATTTATATCGATTGTATCATGCACAGATAACTTTTAGAAATTCACTAGACAGATACACTTGTTACTCTTATTTTTAAACGCTTTACTTTTGGCTTTTAATAGTTTCTACTGCCAACTGGAATTCGGGTTAGGCTTTTAGCTGTTAATGTTATTGGTGATTTTAAATAAAATAGTATTTTCTCTTCTTCTTCAACGGCTCGACAGCCTTGGGTGGGCTCTGGCCTTCTCCAGAAGTTTTCTCCAGGCATCTCTACTTTTTGCAACTGTTTTCCAGTTTTTGACCTTTAAAATATTTAGGTCTTTTTCGACACAGACAATCCATTCTAAACGGGGGTTTGCCCGAGGTCTATTTCCCATGAGCTTTGCCTGAAAGATTTTCTTGCAACAACGATCTTCATTCATCTAGCCAGATGACCAGCCCCTTAAAGTCTCTGTAATTTGATAAATTTTACAATATCAGGTTGTTTGCAAATTTTGTAGAGTTCTAAGTTAGATCTTCTTCTTCATGATCCATTCACTTGGATCCCGCCAAGAATGCAGTGTAAGATCTTTCTCTCGAAAATTTCTAAAGCTTCCTCATCGCGTAAACTCAATGGCCAAGAACTCGTGACTTTTAAAAAGAAGCAATTTAGTTCTTAATTTGAGAAAACTGAACTTAAATTACTCTTCAAACCATAAATAGTATTTTATCAGCAGATCCAATAACATCATAAGTACTTTGGTGATTTTAGATAATTTTTAAATGGTGTTTAGAAGGAAAACTAAACTAATATTTTATTTTAATTAATTTTGATTTATTTAAAAATGTTTAGTTTATGCAGTGTATATTATTTTCTTTTCAATCTACATTAGTAAAAATAAAAAAGGGGGAGGGGGACGTTATTTCAGACTTAACAAACATTTACCAATCAAAAATATTTTCTCATTAGATTCTAAACTTTAAATCGAGAATAAAAATAATTAGAGTTTTAAAAAGGAACAAATTAAAAACATTAACTTAAACATTCCTACGAGAAATAAAATCATATACATGCATGGGCATTTCTTTATTTGCAGAATATAATAGTAAGAAAATATTTTTCTACAAATTTCAACTTCTCACGACAAAAAAAAAGAAGAAAAAAAAGAGAAATTTAGAGAGAATAATTTATTTTTTGCTTTGTGTGTGTGCAAGCGCAAAACAAACAGTACCAACCCTCGATTTCGAATTTTTCTTTTGATAGTTTTTTTCTTCTTTTTATGCTAAAAATAAATAGCCAGCATAAATATGTGTATCAATAGGAGCACACACACCAAAAAAAGAAATACAAACAAAAAATTCTCTGTAGCCCTGTCAGTGGATGAAAAACTGATATAAACGTACGCATGTGACCGTATTTCTTAAAAAATAAGAAAAAGAGAAGGAAACGATTTTGTTTGAAGAAATGTGTCGGAAAATAGCAAGAGAAAACGTAAAAGCCCCTAGAAGAATAAAAAAAAAGACCTAAAGATTCTTTCTAAGGGCTCCTCATTCCATTTTAGAGAACAGGATAGAGAAGAAAAAGAAGAAGAAAAAATTCCCTTGCAATTGCTCCTTTTTGAATATTCTGATCAGATTTCAATTTTATTTCTCTCCCTTTTTGCAGGTCCGAGAGAAGGGAAACGCATTGGTTTTCTATAGGCCGCAGACGTGAACGATAGCACTAAAATGTATAGACAGGGAAATGCAAGCGTGAGATGAATGGGAATAGGGAATATTTTTTTGAGCTGACGCTGGAAAGAGGGATTTTTTTGTGTGAAAAATGTAGAGAGCAAGAGAGAGGGACGTATATGTGGAACATTTTCCTTCGAAAATGACCCGAAGGGAAGTTAAATTGTGCATAATAGCCAGCCTTCTGTCGCGAAGAAAAAGTTTGAGTTTATAAAGATTTTATTCACAAAAAAAGTATCAGCTATATTGTGTTAAATTAGTATTTCTACGATTAAACTATACAATAATAAATGACAAAAGTAAAATACGTATTAACAAAAATAAAAAATGGAGCTCAGTGAGAAAAAAGTAATTTTAGACTTAGGGCTGAATAAATGGGGTTAAACCAGTTTGATGATAACAACTTTTCCCCTTTGCGAATTGGTAGGTTAATAAAGAAAATTTCCAACAGAAAGATCAAAAACTTCCAAATAAATGATTTAGAAGTTAACCAATGATCTGAAAGAAATAATTTAAAAATTTTACACGCAGCAAATAAATAATTTTAAACACATACATTCAGGCTTGATGCTATTTTTTCATAAAGAGCTCTTATATCAAACTTTAGTCACAATATTTTAATTTTTAGTGCAAAAATGATTCAATAATTTAAAGAAAATCTTTAAAAATACAACATAAAAAAGTATTTCGTAATTTAATTTCAATTACTAAATTAATTTCCTGAATTTTTTTATTAAATATATATTTTAAGCACCTCATTTTTTAAAGCTACTTTAGAATTAAATTTTTGGATTTGGTTATTTTCCCCTTGGGGTTTTACTTTGTATTATGCATTAGTAACTTAGTTTTAGTACTTTTAGTATTCTTCTTCTTCTAATATTAAGA